AACACACACACACACACACACACACACACACACACACACACACACACGAACCTCACTCAATTCTTAGGATGCATATGGCTAATGCTGAGAAAGGATATGGCCAATGCCAAGGAAGAATGGATAAACAATTAGATTTTAATCGAGCCTACCTTTTATACTATATACAATGGCAAAGCCTTTGAAGAAATTTAACTAGGTGGGCGATGATAAAATGCTATCTTCGCGATATTCCTGGGGCAGCCGATGTGAGTAAGTTCTAAAGAGGTGGTTCTGTGGTTCCCGTTAGGTGCTGTTGCCTCAGTTCCCACTCATAGGCACCCTGGGGCTAACAGAAGGAAATGCTCTGTCCTCTTGTACCTAGAGTCCTCACGAATAGACTGGACTGTGATGGAAAGCAACAACAAAGAATAAGCAGTGAAAAATAGTGTTTAGTTATGAAACCATAGATAGTTCTGGTAAAGTATATGCTTAAGCTACATAGAAAAGTGCTAATGATCTATACTTTCTATGTCTATTATTATTCATATCACTCTCGCTCACGTGCCTTCTGATTATAGAAAAAAGTACTTCTTTATTCAAATCTAATGTGACGTGCAATGTGTATGGAGGCAGGCAGAGCATGCAGGTCCATTCGGTGTGGAGGTGCTACCACTACAAGACACTATATAAATGACCAGTGAAACCTTTGCATGCATAAGTGCCTTAGGGTAAATGAAAAACATAATTAATGCCAGCTTGACATTCTCTTTGTGGTTGTATTACAGTAGTGCTTAGCTAACTTATAGGTGGTTATATTTTAGATAATGATATTAGATATTGTTCCAAATAGCTGAAAGTTTTTGGCATATTACCATTTTCTCTAAAAACACCTGTTCTTAGGTACTTTTGAGTTGCTTCCACCTGATAGTAAGCCTACCCTCAATAGAACAAAATCCTTCCCAATCCTATGCCATCCTCACAATCATTGCTATGTTTAAAGCCAGTGTTTCAGCGACTGTGCCTTCTTTTCTTCACTAACCCTTTACTGTATCAAGCACGTTGTCCTGGTCCAGGGATAGCTCTCTCGTGATAACCTGCCCAAACTAAGTGGAAGGAAGTCTAGACATTCTTGCTTCTTAGGAGTATGTGGACTGGACTTCTTTCAAGACAGGTATGTTCACCTGGCAGTCCATAGTATATTCAGTATTCTTGGCTAACACCACAATTCAAATGCATCCATTCTTCTTTGGTCTTTCCTATATAGTCCAGCTTTCACATGCATGTGAGGCAAATTAAAATACTCTGGCTCGGATCGTGTTCACCTGAGTCCTCAAAGTGATACCTTTGCTTTTTAACACTCTAAAGCGGTCTTTTGTGGCTGTTAGTCCAAGGCAATACATCACTCAATTTCTGGTTTCATTAACTGCGTCTGTGGTTGTTGACCATGGATACAGATATAATGAAACTCTTGACAACTTCAATTGTTTTCTCTGCTTATCATGTTGCTTACTGGTCCAGTTGTGAAGATTGGTGTGTTATTTATTTTAAGGTACAATCCATATTGAAGGCTGTAGTCTTATTCATGTTCAGCAAGATAGACTTAAAAAGTCTTCCTCTAGCCTTGGAATGCATCCTGTATGTAGTCCAGCTTCTTAGATAATCTGTTCAGCACACAGATTGAATATGAATGGTGAAAATATACAACCACGATGCACACTTTTTTGACATTTTTATATGTATTTAATACATCATACAATTCAGTTGTTCAATCATATCCAAAAGAGTTGAGCAATCATCACTACACTCAATTTGAGTACAATGTTTTTTTTTCACATTTATTAGCGCCCCACTTCTTCATAGTGTCCCCAGCCATCCTCCTAAGAAACTGTCTCAATAGCTTTAACTATCCCACATTTCAGTTATTGTCTCTATCTTGGATTTCATATACATAAAAACATACAAAAACAAAATAAAAACAAACAAAAATCCCCAGCAACAATAACAAAATAAAACAGAGAAAAATCTAATATAAAGGAAAGCCGAAAATATTCAAAACTAGGACAAATTTAAAATGGATAAAAAGGGAGAAAAAATGATAAAACGCTAAATTTTAACCACATTCCATCTATAATAATCCACTTTCTGAAGCAATCTGCCCGATAGCAAAATTATTCAGATCCATGGTCTGTGGTCAGCAATGATTCAGCAGAGGTTGAGTTCATTTGGGGCTACTACAAATGGATTTGGGGTTTCGTTGGCATCTGTAGCCTTCTGCAAACTGGGTGCTCAGAATACAGTTCTAATCTAGTTCCTTCTCCTGGTCTTGTTCTTGTGCCGTCAAAGTCAGTTCCAGTCATAGCTCCCTCTGTATAAAAAGGAGCCAACCACTGCCTGAGCCTGTGTCATCCCCACAGTTGTTCTTATATTTGAGCCCATTGTGGCAGCTACTGCGTCAGTTCAGCTTGTTGATGGGTTTCTTCTTCCTCTGCCCTTCACTTTGGCCGAGCGTGAGGTCTCTTCTGATAACATGTCCAAAGTAAGCGAGATGAAGGCTAGCCATCCTCACCTCTAAGGTGTATTCTGGTTGTCCTTTGTCCTAGACCGATTATTTTTGTTCTTTTGGCGGTCCATGGTACTTTCAATATTCTTCAATAGCACCATAGTACACTTGCATCCATTATTCTTGTCTTCTTAGTCTATATCCAACTTTCACATGCATATAGGTGATTGAACAGATTGTATCAGGCACCCCTTAGTCCTCAAAGTAACATCCTTGCTTTGCACACTTTAAAGTGGTATTGTGCCGCAGATTACTCCATATAATCCGTTGTGTGATCTCTTGACTTCTGCTTTCATGAGCATTGATTGGGATCCAAGCACGACAAAATCTTTGACAATTCGAGCCCTTTCTCCATTTATCATGATGCTATCTGTTGGTTTAATTGTGAGAATTTGGGTTTTCTTTATATTGAATTGTAATTCATACTGAAGACTGAAATCCTTGATCTTCATCAGCAAATACTTCAAGTCCTCTTCTCTGTCAGCAAGCAAGA